TAATGTTTTCAAGTTATATAATTGTCTATGCAATTAAATATTGAAAAAGTTTTCTGTCATTTCATCTTAAGAGTTAAGGGGCAACAACTCCTACATATTATTGTAAAACAGAAAAATGAACAAGTTTTTATATTATTAATTTAGTTTAGTTTATTTGAAAATTTTTATAATTTGTATTAAAAATTCATGTTAATTACCATTTCCATTGTATGTTATATGCTAGTAAATGATAGTTCTATAAAGAACTATTAAACATTACAAATCACCTATAATTAGTATTTCTGTGGCATATTTTAATTTAAAGTCTGTTTGCAGTATTCAAGTAAATAATACTAAAAGAATAGATACGAAAGTAAACAACTGTGGTAAAATGCACAAAAAGAAACATTTTCTATTTCATTAATGGTTCAGTACAGTGTTGTGTATTAATGTTTAGTTAAAAAAAGTTTTAAAAATAAAATCTTACTTACCTACCCTTATTATTCCTGGCAATGTTACCACAAATACAGATAAAGTTTTTGGCCTACTGTGCAATGACAAATAAACTTGTAATAAGGATCGAGAATTAGAAATGGCATTTTACTGATTCAGAAAAATTTGTTGGCAATAGAAGATCATTGTTTACAAAATAAGGAATGATTTTATACCCAAGATAATCTTATTGTGTGGCATGTGCTGTTAGATTTATTTGCCCTTTTGAACAGTGAAGGTTATCATAAAGTATCCACATACTTGACTGTCTAAAAGTAGTTATGTATATTCTGTTTATCACCACACACAACTATTTTTAACCGTGTGCCTACATCAAGTGTTTGTTAATTGAATATATCTTTCATTGTTGGAAAGAAATTTGTTTTTCAAAACATTTTCAAGAATACATGAGATATGACCAACAATACTTACGTTCATAGATAAAATAAATACTGGGTCTCCATTGGTGGAGTACTTGTTTTAAACATTTTTGAAACCTATGAAAAAAAACTGTTTATTTATGGTCAGACTTTTCTGAGGATTAATAAATTTTTTTGCCATATGTTTAGATACTTCAGTATTGGCTTTTAGTTTCTCGATCATCAGTCTTTGATTCATACATCATGTTCTTGTTGGAACTATATTTTCATCAACAATTCCATCACATTCCATGCTTAGATGTTTGTAGATATGTAAGAAATTACCAGCATTAGTCTTCAGATGGTCCTCTATGTGGTGTTCTTACTGATGTATAGTTGATTCCACATAATCTTGTTCACATGAAGAACATACATATTGATAAACAATGTAGGAGTGTTGCTGTTTATTAATCATGTTTTTTTTTTATCATGAAAAAGTTCTCAATTTTCAATACTGATTTTAAAGCTATACACTATAAGTGAAAGGTTAATTATCATCCTAGGTTTTGTAAATTGTTTAATTGTTAGGATGAGGTTTTAGAATTTTGTGTCCTGATTGTACATTGTCCTTAGAAATTGTGATGTCAAAGAGTTTAAGAATGGGGAATAAAAACAACTAATGAAATGAAAACATAAAAGAAATGAGATTAAATTAGACTTCTTGTTGAATAACTTGATATGTACTATGGTCATTATCAAAACTGAAAATATTGTGGGAACTTTTAATATTAACAAACTAAAATATGCGTAATGGTATAAAACATACTTGGTGTGTTGAATGGTTTAATGCAGGCCTTGACAAGTCCTGGGTACCAGGTCACCATGGCGATTAAAAATTTCATTGTGGCGTCTAGTATTTTCTCTCATTTTATTTGTGTGTAGGGCTGTGCTAAATAGAACTCAAATCTTGAATCATTCTGGACTTTGTTTCTAGGATTTTAATGGTGTGTTCAACACTTCATGTTTTTTTAGGAACGAAGCAGTGGTTGAACAACAAGTTACTAATTTTGCAACATTTTGTTTTTCTTCTTTCTCTAAATTCGACCAATTAGTCCACATGTTTAGACTCAGACAGGACCAAAGGCAGTTAGTTCAGGCAATACTATCAAGTAGTTGTTGATATCATGGGATCGTTAGCGTGCACTCATTGCTGTGAAAGTAAATAAACATACATAGCTCCCATTTCCTGGTTCAAACAGTAGTGAAGTTAGATTAAGCACACTGGGCTCCTGAGTTTTTGGGCTAGCTCCTTGATCTGAAAATATTTGTGAGGCCTGGGTTAGTATATTCCATTTAATGAAAAAAATTAATGTTATACTGTATTTCCTATATTTTTTCACATGTAATTAAAGTATGTAACAAGTTCGTTCTATTGCAGATGTCTTAGGGAAGAGGTATGATAATTATTGTTTACAAAACATAAGATAATAGGTTACATCATGAGTTTTTAAATGAATGTAAAAGATTGATATTGGCACCAAAGTTTCTTCTATTTATGATTTGTCACAGAAAGTTAAAGAATAGGAAATGCTATTATAAAGTACTGCAGAAGTTTCTCAACAATGAAACAGAACATAAAAATATACAAAACAAATATTTAGAGAAAACTTTTAGTTCTCTTAGAAACATATAGAAACAACAAATAAGGAACTAAGAGAAATTTGATTAAATTGTTTTAAAAAAATGAAATGGTTCAAAAAGAACAGAAGGTATTGTTAGAACAGTTATATGTGAAAATTAAAGATAATCATATTTATGGAGAAAAAAAAAGTGGAAGACAATTTGATAGCATTGTAACAGAGACCTTGGGGTGACCTTGACATAATTCTACTTGTATAAAAGAAAACTAAATATAACTAAAGAAAAAATTGAAGATGGTAACTATTTAAGTCAAAATAATAAACTTATTATAGTCAAAACATATAGAATGAACTGTATAGTTGTTTTGAATAAAGGATGTTAGATAAATACTCACCATAAAATCTGATAAAATTAAATTTAGAAAACTGAATTTTGATCCCATAAAAAGAGGGTCAATTACAGTGAGATTTGCTAAAATTAAAGATAATTCCACTTGTGATAAAGTATACAAAGATATTAGACCAGTAGGTTTTTCACTGTGTTATTTTATACTATTGTAAGTTATAGTTTTCATTGTTTTGTTCATCAGAGGGATTTTTTACATGTAATAATTGTGTGAAGTTTAGAAGTTTCATGAAAGTTTGGGTCACGGTGGCATCTCCAAAATTCATGGATATTGTACAGTATATATGCACCATTTAGAAAGAATTAATCAGTTCATAGTTAGTTAATGTGTTTTAATTAGTGTGAGTGATTCAGTTAGTCTATTTGTTTAAAAAAAAGTGATTCAGTTATCTTTATTCAGCTATTAGGAAGTTATTTTGTGAGTCATTCAGCATATTGGTTATTGATTGACTAGTGAAAAAAATTGGCAAGTAAGTGACTTCAGTTTTATTTTCCCATTTGTTTTTGGAATTTCTATTGTTCTTAAGTTCAGCCTACCAGTAAATGTAGCGTACAACTTATATGTAATAGTATTGAAGAAATAAACTAATTTGTTATTGTTAAGTGGGTGGACTTTACATTATTTTTACTGAATAATCCAAAAGAACAATAGAACATATTACAACAATATGGTTTACGAAAAATTCATAAAACATAGCTAATGAATATATGGTTAAGAATAGGTTTGAGATATCTAAACAACTGGCAGATTCAAGATTTGATGAACAAGTTGATTATGCAAGTTTATAAATTGAGTCCCTGTACACTAACATTCATTTACCGGAGACAATTCAGTTAGCAGCAGATTGAGTTTTTCAAAATATGATTGTACAAGGTCTAATAAAATCAGTTTTTATTAAGTTCCATTTTGCCACTAAAAATCTCATTTATGATCCAATAGATGGTGTTAGTATGGTCTCAGAATTAGCACCTAGTCTAGGAGAAACATTTTTTTTATGCTATCTTCACTGTTCAGATAGTTTAAACCTGTCGGTATGTGGGTAGTATCTTTAATGTTCCCTAGTGGTTCAGCATTAAGTTTTTAGGCTTATAACTCTTAAAAACCAGGTTTCTGACACTTGTAGTAGCCACAGCACAGAGAGCCTATTTTTGATGCTTTTCGCTTAACAACAAACATATACCTTTATCATCTTTAACAAAAAAGAAAAAAAATTGATTTCACTTTTATAGTAACAGTATCTAAACAAACATTGTCCTTATATTAAGTTTACAGTTGAAGAAGAAAACTCAATTCTAGATGTAGTTACAACTTTGGAAATCACTTAGAAATAGGATTGTATCATAAAAGAACATACATAGGATTGTGTAGTAATGTTGACAGTTTTCTACTTGTTAGATATGAGGATAGTTTGATAAATATTTTATAGATCTTATCATGTTGCCATTAACTATCATTATTTTTGTAAAGAAATACAAAAACTGTGTTATTAAAATATGGTTTTCCTCTGTCATTGTGTGACAACATTTCAATGTGTATTTTAAATGAAGTGAGTAAAGTGAGTTATGATGTGCACAAACTATCATTTTATGTCAGTCTCCCATTTATAGGTAAAGACAGTTATGTGTTGAGAAATAAAAGCAAAAATACCTTGAAATCAAACTATCAACAACCTTCAGTGTGTATAGCCTTAAAATCAGTCTTGAGAATTGAGAACTCTTTCAATATAAAAGATTTAATAAACTTCAAGTTCCTACATTGTTTATCTTTATATTTGTTCTTGATATGGTGAGATTATGTGGGATCAACCATGTGTGATTTAGAACAGTGTATAATAAAGCCTCTGAAGCCCAATGTTGGAAATTCATTGAATATCTACAAATATCTAGATTGGTTATGTGGAGGAATTGCTAATGAAAGTAACTGTCACATAATATATAGTTCCAACAAGGAATAAAGATGTAAGAATCAAAAAGAGACTTGAAACTAAATCCAATATTATTTAACACTAATTCATCAGGATAGAAATTCTTATAGATATTGTAAAGGAAAACTTTTACTTGTTTGTTACTAGTTGGATAATAATACAATGTTCATAAATGTGGTCTTTGTTGCATTTTCTGCAGTACAAGGCTGTTGGAAGAGAGCTGTTTGATCAGGTGTGTCGAACTATTGGTCTTAGGGAGGCATGGTATTTTGGCCTGCAATATATGGATTCTAAAGGGTTTTTTGCTTGGCTAAAACTTGATAAAAAGGTAAGGCCAAATATGAAATTCATGAGCTTCTTAACAACATACAAGTCTTTTTTTATGCACATGTATTTGTATCATTTAAATTTCCTAAATGTGCATAATAAGAGGAATAAATTTTTAACTCAAAAATACTGCAAATTATAATCATATTATTGTTTTGTGCAAATAAATAAATGGAATCTTATGCATGTGGTTATAGAAGTTTTTCCATGTGTTCCTATGTTGTTGAAAGTAATTAAACACATAGAAGAAAAAATAAATTCATCATACCAAGTAACTGTTTAGGTTAACACTTGTAAGTTTAAGCAACTGTCTTTGTAACTTGTCAATGCTATGTAATGTGTTATCCAGACTTATGATGTGTGGACAATGTAAGATATTGTTAGTGAAAGATACCAAAATGTAACTGATTTATGAACTTCTGGTAACTAAAATGAGTCTTATAGCATTTCTGTTATAAAGTAATTTTGCATCCTATTAGAAATATGGATTACTGAACCAAAGTAGACAGATTTTTTCTTTATTAAATATTATAATGTTATTCTTCATAGTAGTCTTAAAAGTCAATAAATCAATTTTAAGTGTGATACTCAAATTATTATTATTAAGTGTTAAATGTTTATCATACCTATTCAAGGTACTATACATTTATTTGGTTTCAAGAGTTTATGTTTATATTGTTCAAACAAAACATATGATTAATTTTTTTGATGAAAGTCAAAATTGTGGTATGAAAAATTACTTAGACTAATATTTTGTACAGTTAAAACAGGATAGTTTTTGTGGTATTATATATATGTTTGTAACCAACTTTTCATTAATTCATGACTAAATTCATTAGCTGTTAGGAAATTTTGTCAGCAAGCTCATCATAACATTACTTGTTTATTGTTATTTGATTAGTTATGCTTAGTGCATATGCTGTGAGAGAGCCGGTTAAAGATAGTAAATCAAACCATGTATTTAAGAATTTTGGAACACTCACCCAAGAAGGTTCTTTGATTAATCTGATAGTAAGCTGATGTTTACAACACACACATAAACTTTGCATACATTTATTTCTTAGGTTCAAGACCAAGATATCCCAAAGAAATCTCCTGTGCCCTTCACCTTCTTAGCAAAATTTTTTCCTGAGGATGTTGTAGATGAGTTGGTTCAAGAAATTACACAGCACTTGTTCTTTCTTCAAGTCAAACAAGCCATCCTAAAGGGAGATATTTATTGTCCTCCTGAAGCATCTGTTCTTCTGGCTTCATATGCCGTTCAAGCCAAGGCACGTTTTACTGTTTTACATAAATAAGATCAAGTGTATAAAATTACTTCATATACACTATAAAGATTTTATTTTTCATGTAAGAAATTTCTATTGAAAGTTTCAGCATATTATTTGCTTAACAGGAGTTTTAAGTTAGGTAATTGTGTCATAATGACACAATTAGTTTTTAAAATATTTGATATATATATATTTATTATTTGCTTATGTAGTATGGAGATTATGAAGAATCGATGTATAAGCCTGGAGTGCTGTCAAACGAAGACCTCCTTCCTCAGCGTGTCATTGATCAATACCAGATGACATCTGACATGTGGGAAGAAAGGATAAAGACCTGGTATGCAGACCACAAAGGGATGACCAGGTATGACGGTGATGACTGTCAGTTTTTTTTTTATGTGTCACGTTTTCTTGCCATACCCATTGTATTGGTATTCTAGTGTACACTTAGAAATTATTAGTTCTTATATCCTGTGACAAATAAGTTAAGAAATGCATAACTCACCTTAAAAAATAGGTTAGGCTTTTGTTCACAGTTAATTCCTTTTTTTTTTTTTTTGCTTGAGTATCAGTACTATTATCTTAGACTAAACTTTGATAAATAGTACTGTTCAACTTAGGTGGTTAGTAAATCATTTAAAAAGTAATTTATTACAAGGGCCAAAAGTGGATGTATCTCAAACAAAATTTTGGATTATTATTAACTTCTGATCAAAACAAGCTACTTATATAGGTTGAAAGTAAAATTGAATCCAGTAATGAGTACAGCAAATAAAATATATTGTTCTTGTGTATAATGATTAGAATGTACTGATTTATTGGTTGAGTACCCTGCTATTTGTGGTAGTTTTGGTCATAATCCTAATATAATTTCACAATGTTTAGCCAGTTTAGAAGATTTAAGTTAGTCCTAAATCCATATACTAAGGTAACAGTGCAAAATAATCCTTATGATAAATATATATATTAAATATTCTAACCAATATTGTTAATGAAAATAACATTAGAGATACTAGAATATATATTACTTAAAAAACACCATAAAAATTAGCTGTTTGCTTCATACTTTCATGGATTCCTATCCCTTGAAAAGCCTTAACACAAGGATATATAAAGAACACCATTAGAACCAGTTGTATTACCAGTGTCAGACCCTGGATTACCATTACTGAATTAGTTGTGGGATAGACTAACATATAAGGTGTGGTACAGAGCAAGATTGTGAAATATTGTATTATATGTGTTTTTATCCAGTTCTTGTTCTTTTAATAAATTATCATAATATATGATGGGGTACCTTTGGTTTGATACTATTTCACGAAAGCTCAAATAAATAAGTGCATATTACCGTTTCATTCTTAGAATAAAATGTTTTGCATAAATGTTAAATTACTGTAAGTGTTCTGTTTTTTTTCTTACTAGTGTTTTAGATGTTGTAAACCAAACAGTGTGACTTTTGTATTCACATATAAGTAGCATAAAGTGTACAAGCTACTTTATCATGAAATTTGAAACTTTTAGTAGGAACTTTTCTCTTAGAACTTTTTATTATCACACTAGGGATGAGGCAGAGATGGAGTATTTGAAGATTGCACAGGATCTTGAGATGTATGGAGTGAACTACTTTGAAATTATTGTAAGTGAGCTTTTAAATGGCCATCATCAGATCTATAAATGTCTGCATTGTAAAAAGTGTAAAATAAGGATATCTAATATTTGTTACTCGGTTTATGCCATTAAAAATGTATCACTGTGTGTTAAGTTTATAATTTTAAACACATTTTATCATCCAAACACAAACTGGAAAGTGTTTAGCTTGAGGATGATGACAAGGTTTTTCTTCTTCTGTCTAGCCAATTTCTAAATAATAGATGTTATTAATGGCCTTAAATGGCTCAAAGCATCACAAAAACAATAAAATGGGATGTAAATATGACTTCAGTAACTGGAAGTGTCATGAAACAATAAGATGAAATGTAAATATGGTTTTAATAATTGTAGGTGATATGTAGTGTTTCTTATCTTTCATATTACAAAAAGTCTTGTTCTATATTGATGGTAGTGTGCTCTAAATTTTTCACATGGTAGAGGATAAATGGTGTGACCTGGTTCAGGATGTTCCATCCACTATGTGTGTGTGAGTGGAGACATTATTTTGTTTCTAACATCATCTTACCAAGTGTAGGGACTTGGTCTCTTGAATGTATAAATTGCAAAATGTATGTTGAAATGTGAACGATGGTGAAAAATATGCAGTACTTAAGTGTATTCACAAGGATGATATGCATTTCCCTTAAAGGGCTTATTAATATCAGCTGCCTGGACTTAAAGAAAGGGCTTATTAACATCGGTGTCTTAGGCATTCAGAAATGGTTTATTAACATCATCAATATAGACATCCAGAAGTATCTTATTAACATCTTGGACCTGGGCATCTAGAACATGCTTATTAACATCAGGTTCTGAACATCCAGAAAGGACTTCTTTACATCATCAGTCTAGACACATAAAAGTTACTTATTAACATCAGGGACCTGAGCATCCAGAAAGGGACTATTAACTTATTTGCATCATTGGCTTGGATATCCAGAAAGGGCCTATTAACATCAGTGGCCTGTCCAGAAAGGGCTTTCTCAACTCTACATTGTAAATGTCTAAAGGATTATATATTTCTCTGTGTGATGAAAAGTGGCATCAAATGCTGTTTATCACTTGACTGTTTATTCAGAAACAGTGAACTTTTGAAACCAACGCACATCTAGAGATGGAACACTCCTGTGAAAACATTTGTTGTGCTAAGGGAAAACTTTTATATTACCATAGATATATTGAAGTTTCGCTTGAGTTGTTCAGAGAAATAGCCATTTAACTCTGTAGCTATGGGCTCGCTCCCAGAGACCAATTCAGAACCATTTTATGCTTGTTATAGTTTTCATATTATAACTTTTAGTACAGTTTCTATATCTTTACAAAAATTTGCAGATTACTAGTAAATGTTACAAGTCGTTTGTACACAAAATGTAAGTTTTAAGATTTTTTTAAGTAGTGATTTGCTTGTGTATTTTTTCTTTTTGAATGTTGACCCTCCAACATGCAAAATAATTTTGATTTTAAGATTAAAAGTAGTTTTATGTGTCAGAAAACTGTCAAATTTTACATGCAAAATCTCAATAACCTCCAGATAATTATTGAATATTTTTTAATGAAAAAACTATATTTTATTTGTTATTTACTCTATTGTATCTCTGTATGGGTTTGGTCAATTTGACTGACTTCATAACCACCTTAAAAAATTAGGAAATAAATATAAATTACTCTTTTTTTTCGTTTTAGAATTTCTACAATTATAACATGAAACCACAAATGTTTAGTATAGCTTAAATCTCATAACACTATACCTTTATATATATATTTTTTATTTTTATTTTATTGACCTTTCTACCGTGTCTGACTAACAATACAGAAGCTACAATGATGCAGTTACAATTATAGCATAAAACCACAAATGTTTAATATAGCTTAATTCTCATAACATTATACCTTTATATATATTTATTATTTTTATTTTATTGACCTTTCTAATATTGTCTGACTAACAATACAGAAGTTACAATGATGCAGCACATGTGCACTCGTGTTATTGTATCCACTTTCATTATCACCGAGTTACATCCCTGCCCCTTCCAACACATGAGCAGCATGTACTTGATGCAGCTGATCAAGACTGGGATTCTGCTTCTGAGAGTGATAGACATTATGTAGTTCACTAAATGACAGTGCAGTAGATTCAGTTGATGCTGGGCAGATCACATGAAACTAACATTTGTGTCAAATGCACTTCATTTAATGTACACATAATACATGTTAATAATTTTAGCCTCTCCATCCTGTTGTAAGAGCTGACATGAAATATGATGACATAAATGCCTCTAATTATCACCATAAGCACTGACATATAGTCAGATTTGTTAATAAATATATATAACTTTTTATTATTTCAAAATAATTAACACAGAAATTATGCTCTTATCAAGTAATAGTGTCACATGTTAGTAGTTACCATCTTGTGAATTTTAGCATTCAAAGGATATAATGTTATAAGCAGTCTATTATGTCTGTCACTATATTTGTGCAAACTGTCTTTAAATCAGATATGAGCCATTCTAGGTGATTATTGACATCTACCTACTCTTTGACTGGATGTTTCTAACACTAACTGAATTAACTTGGCAGTAAAACAAAAAAGACACAAAACAGATGCTGAAAAAACTGTTTGCTAAATACACCATTTTAACATCTTATAACTGTAATCTTGAAATTGTTATAAAAAATCATTGATTAGAAACAATCCAAAAAAGATATTTATCAAAATATTACAGTGTTGTTGATGATAAAAGAAAAATTAGTTGATTAATAGTTATGGCTAGTATTATGCATGCAAGATAATAATGGTTGGACCTCTAACTTTGTAGCTGTTTCAGGTAATAGACTTTTTCTGCTTCAATATTACTGTGTAAGCCAAACCATCCTATTTTTGTATATTTACCAAAACTTCTATAGTGAGCTATCTTAACCCAATGTGCATGGGCTTGGTCCAACAGACCAATATTGTATTGGAGTGGAGAAGTAATGTTGATTATAATTCTGAAATTACTATGTGTATTTTCATGAAAGTTGGCAAACTTTAAGTACAAAGTATTAGTCTGTTGTACAAAAAATGTTAGATGTATTAAAAGGGTGTTTTTACTCAAGATATGTATGTATGTCTGTGAATTTGGGATGTTATTCTGTCGCAGACTCCAAGAAGTCAAAGTGCAAAGTGATGTTCATGGGAAATAATAAAAATACTTTTGCCTCTCACACAGTTTGTGCATTGCATTTCCATAACTTCTAGAATCTTTGAAATTCATATCTACAGTTTCTTTCAGTGTCACTGTATATTGTATCTGGTGTTTATTCTTCCTTACCATGAAATGTCACTAAATCAGCAATGTAGAGTCGCATGATAATTCTAGCATCAAATACATAACATCATATTGAATGGCATCCTGTAAAATATTGTGGCATACATATTTGGGTATGCACATAGGATTAATAGTAATTTATAATGTAGAAAAAATGTTGCTGGAAATATTGAAGTGTTTGTTGTTTGGTAATACAAATAATGGAAAGGCTTTTGCATTAGTGAAGTTTAGAATAGCAAAAAAAAATATATATAGAAGAGGGGAGTTCAACAGTAAGTGTTTTAATAATACATTTTTTTCTGTTGAAAAATATCTAGAATCATTAGTTCTAGCTGTAGAAAAGGAATATTTATGTTTTTTAGAACAAGAAGGGTAGTGAACTGTGGTTAGGAGTAACTGCGGATGGCCTGAAGATTTTTGAAAAAGCTAACAAAATGAGCCCAAAGATTACGTTTCCCTGGAGTGAAATCAGAAATATTTCTTTTGATGATAAAAAAGTAAGTGCTTCAGATATCCAAAATCTTTGTTCTACCACAAAAAATATTTGCATAAAATACTTCAGGTTAGACCTGCAAATTAATATCACGTAATTTTGTTGTGTTCTCAATTAATTTAGTGAAAATCTTTGACTTTAATTAATTTCTTGTATTTGTTTTTGTGGTAATTATCCAGATTCAAGTATTTAATAGTAAATAAAGTGTATATAAAAATAATATGTTTGAAAGTCCATAGTATAGTGCCAAGATTGTTTATATGTAGTTACCAATACTAAGATGATAAACACTTCATACATATTTTTCTTATAAAAATGTTGTTTGTTACTCTTAAAATCTATTTTCTCAGATTTGAGTCAGAGTAAAACATTCTTTTGTTATTGTTTATTTTTCATGTTATTTCTGTGCAATTATTGTCTGCAAAGTAATAATCAAAAATTTATTTTACAGTTTACTATCAAACCCGTTGATAAGAAAAGTTTATCTTTTGTTTTTTATTCATCAAAAATCAAGCTCAATAAGTTGGTAAGTGTGAAAAAAAACTCATGATTATAAGGCATGTACTTGTTTTGTGTGTGTGTAATGTACTCTTATTAGTCTGATTTGTTTCAATTCTCTGTAATTAGAAAGGTGGTGTAATATATGAGAAGAAAAAAGAAACTATTAAAATACATTTTTGTTTCACACAGAGAAATGGCATTGTGTGCAAGTAGTTTAATATTTGAGCCAAACATTTCTTTCATGAATATGACAGAAGAAATAGGTTTAATGTAGGTATAATTTGGAGCCAAAATAAGGCTTTTTAACATAAGCTAGGCCCCTGAAGTTGATCAGCATTAAGAGTGAGGGCTTATAATGGTAAAAGTTGGGGTTGGATCCCTGTGGTGAGCACTGTGGTAGGCTATTGCACTCAACAAACAAACAAATAAAAATAAAATTTCAAATGTAGAAAATTAAAATTATTCATTTCTCAAAAGTTACTATTCTGTTAGACTTTAATGTTTTTAATTTGTGATTTTGTACTTTTTAAATACCTGATAATGTCACATCAGGCACTTTCCCCAACAAGTTTACAGACGTACAACATGAAAGTACAGGGTTTGATTCTATGCAATGGACGGAGCACAGATATCCCATTGTGTAGCTTTGAGATAAAAAACAATACAAAAAAAAACATCTGCCATTCAGTGTTTCAAAATAGCTCCAAAAGTGCCTTTGAAAAAATTATAATGAAAGAGGATAATTGGTCTGTACGTAGAGATAATAAAGATTGTGATATGACCTAGTTATTTATTAATGAATTTTTATGTGGATGATTATGTTTGTTTTTTATTCATAATAATATTTTTCTGGATGAGTTGATTTATATATGTATTGTTTGGTAGGTAATTTATCTACAAATTTAAGGTCATAAGTTATTTATATATCACACTAATTTTATAGATATTGGATTTGTGTATGGGTAATCACGAATTATTTATGAGACGACGTAAACCTGATTCAATTGAAGTACAGCAAATGAAAGCTCAGGCCAAAGAAGAAAAGAGAAGAAGACAGGTGAGTTTTTATACAACTGCTAATTACAGGATATAGTTATTGACCTTAGGTGGCTTAATTGGTTCATGATCATATACTAAAACCAACAAGTACAAGTTTTTACATTTTGTAGAAGTAGAAATTTGAATATTTTGTGATAGCAAATGGAATACTTTAATTGGGAATGCAGATGCTATGATTATTAGTAGTTGAACAGGCAAATGTTATAATAGGCAGAAAGTAGCATTATAGATAAAAAAAAGATACGAAAAATAGTGAGGAACTTGCGATCAGTGTTGGACAAATCAAAAAAACAATATTGAAAAGTATGTATCTTAAAAAGAAAATTTATAAAATGTTATGTTTATGGTAAAATAGAGGGAAAGATTAGAGAAAAAATATGTTTGATACAGACAAGTATCAGAGGTTGTAGAAGGATAGAAAGAAGGTATCAGTGATACTTTGATGGACAGTAGGACAAAAAAATTGTGACAGGATAACAGAGAAATGTCTTAGATGGATAGTAGAATAGATAGAGGGGTTTAGAATACTAGACAGTCGAATGATTGACTGAAGGGGTGTCATTTGGGAAGGCAGACAGAGTTCCCCCAAGCTTAGGAAGTGGTCCCAAATGGTAGTTTCTGTGAAAAACTTCTAGCCATGCCAAATTAACACATGTATGCAGATTACACCATAGCATACAACCACCCATGATCAGTCTTGTTCTCCCCCCTCTAGTCCTTTCGTAAAATGATGCTCATGGTTGACAGAGTATTTGGGGTAAGGAAGAAAAGTAAAAGATGGTTGTGTAATATAGAGAAGGTTTTAATAATAGTATAAGAATAGACAGCTAGTGTGGTAGAAAGTAGGGAAAGCAAGTATAATAGATGGTAACGAACAGAGAGAAGGTTTTAATAATAGTATAAGAATAGACAGCTAGTGTGGTAGAAAGTAGGGAAAGCAAGTATAATAGATGGTAAAGAACAGAGAGAAGGTTTTAATAATAGTATAAGAATAGAGAGATATGTGTGGAAAGTGGGAAGAGGAGTTTTTATAGATGATAAAAGAATAGACAGATAGTACAGTGGATAGTAAGGAGAGAATGAGGTATGATAGTTTTTAGAGGGATAGAGAGAAGATTTGAGTAATATACACGAAAAGGACAAAGCAAATAATATTATGGACATTAGGACAGTAAAATAATAGTGAGTAGGTTAGAATGATAGATAGAAAGATGACAGATGTACTGGGCATGGAAAAGCTACGGTTGATAGACAAGAGACGGAAATAATAGAGCAGCAAAAAAAAATCGCTACATTGTAAAATGTGAAGGTGTTGAGAAGTTTGCTTTTAAAGTATTGAGTTGAATGTTATCTGTTCATGAAGATTCTAGAATCTTTAAAACAAGGACAGTCTTACATTCCTAGAAATGAAGATAAACATCATTTTGTTTCACGAGTAACCACTGAAGTTTCTAACAAAATTCTTTTAGAGATGTTTATACATTACTTACTTAAATTCTGTAGATTGAAAGGGAAAAACTTGCCAAAGAAAAGCAACTTCGAGAAAAAATACAGCGTGAAAAGGCTGAGCTAGAAAATGTGTTAAAGCATTTAGAAGATGAAGCAAGAAAAGCACAGGAGGAGGCTCACAAAGCTCAAGATGCTCTTGTAAGTGGTAGATCCTCAATTGTTGATTTTGAATAAAAGTAATAATTGAGATTGAAACTAAAAGATACACTTACTTTTGTAAAAAAAAACAAACATTTTTTTATACATAATCAAAAAAATTTAATAATCTACTTTTGATCTTTTAATATGTTAATTAGGTTAATAGTTTACTGGTTTTCTTTATGTTCAAGGTGGTCAAATATTAAAATTCCTAAGCATTAATTAATGGAAGTTGCACATTTTTCTAATTAATTTGACTAGAGTTTTGGTTGCCTTTTTCTTACTGTTTTGAATGAAGTATTGTAACCTTGCTTGTCAGAGCTACATATTACCAGATGTTTTTCTCTGAATCAAGTGGCAGGAGAAGCCCTTCATATACTTTATTATGAAACACTTTTTTGGCCTTGTACGGTGCCTTATTTATCGCAACCCTTGCATGTCATCATCTCGTGTGGATTTGTATCACTCCTTATATGTGTTATTCTGTCTATACATATACCTAATGTCAATCCAATCTATTAAATTATTTTTTACCAAGAAAATTTTAGACAAATATTTGATTAAATAAAATTCCTTCACCACCATAGTTTAAACACAATCTAGATTAGTGCGGTTTTTGGTTGTTCATGAGAGGAGATTCTAGTAAGAATTATGGTAACTTTATTGTTAAATCTAACTAAAATTATATTTTGTTTAATACTTAAATATTTCCAGTAATATAACAAACGGCAGCTTTTTTAGAGAATGATAAATACTTTTGTTTCTTCTAGAAAAAGTCAGAAGAAAGTGCTGAGCTTCTGGCAAAGAAGGCTCAGATTGCACAGGAAGAAGCCATGCTTCTGGCTCAGAAGGCTTATAAAACTGAGGTTGAATTTCAACGTATCAAAATCAGTGCCAGTAAGGTAGGTAGAGATTAAATAACTGTAGTAACAATATAATTTCAAGTGTAATTATGATATAATATCTTATTAACTTTCTTCCCACAAAAAAAATTGAATTTTAAATGAAGTAGTTTTACTAAAAAAATTCTCTCATATGGGTATTGTCAAATTTTATTTGTGTAAGCGATGTGTTCGAAGGAAAATGAAGTTTGATTATAAACAAGATTACGACACTTATGATATACAACATTATTTATTGACAAAAAGGGGACATGGATAAATGTTTCGGAATTCTATCAGATTCCATCTTCAGTATCTAAAGCAGAATAAAATGAATTTACATCAGTCTTTATACATTTTCAAAGTAAAGTTGCTAAATATAACGATAATTAAACAAATAAAACACTAAACAGTAATCATGGGGAAAAACTACAGCAAGAAAACCCAACTGAAAAA